GCAGCTTCAGGGTATGCTTAGGGTCGCAGCTCCCTACGTGAGAATAATACTTCAAAGAAAATATCATTGACACACTTATCTTCACATAAAATATCATATAAAACACTTGAACATGTACATCTTCACCTAAATCATGTGGAAATGTTTTCAAAGCTGAAAAACCACGCAGCTCCTGTCAAAAACTTTACGAAATTTACTACCATTTCCTCAACGATGAAAATGTACCTTTTTGAGAGACCTAAAAGAACGTCGCTGGCAACAGATTGTTATTACGAATTTCCTTGAGGACTGTTTTAGGAAAATGGAAGATCGCACTATCTCGTGTGTTATATAATTATCTTGAGAAACTAGACTAGAGTCAGCAGTAATCTAAGATGCATTAGTATATAAAGTCATTATTTTAAAAAAATCATGTTTCAACGATATGAATGTTTTGAAGACGATTCAGTACACAGAAAACAATTCTTTTTTCTCTCAATCTACAAGTGAACAGTGATAATATTTCTAGAACTTTAAAAATATTTTTGTCGAAGACACAAAAGTTTACACGATGGATACAAGACTTACCTGCTTTAGGATTATCTCGCCCACTTTGACACCGATTCAAAATTGAAAATAAACTTTGATTCATTGTCGAATTGAACAAGGTACATTTTTATGTATATTTTTTTGGGAAAGAAAAATTTTGGTTTGGAAGATTCCCACATTTTTTTGGACAAAGATGGAGAAGTAAAAACTCAAAACCTTTCTTTCCCAAAGATAATTTTTTTTATTTACACGCTTTTATTCTCTTCACCTGTATGTATGTATGTTTGTTTGTTTGTAACTCTCAAGCTCGGGATCTGTAGGTATTTGACAGAATTATCGACATTATTGCTTGATCTATTCGCGGGCAGATGGCGCTGTACGTAACCTCTTTGATATAATTCGAACTCACTTTTCATGTATTTCTTCATCTGAAAATAATATTGAAAATATTTTCTTTTTATTAACACGCTCGCCTGCTGAAATCGTCAGATTATATATTTTTCGTTATCCTTGAATTATTTCCTTCAAAATAAAAACAATTAGCTACGATCAAGAATGTCGAAATGACGTTATTTTTTTACAACTTTGCTGCCATCCCCTTTCTTTACGTCACTCTCAAATTGTCAGATTACTGGAATAGACACTTTTTAGCAGGTAATTAATTCACCCTACCTTAATCTGATGCGCTCGAGAATTTCTGATGATCAATATTTTTTAACTAATCTGATCCTATATCCCTCACAGGCGGCCTTATATATGGGGCTCATATTTGGTGGAGGTACTCAACCGTGAACAAGATATCCCCCTGTATATTAATCTGCCGCGCTTTAGTAAATCCCGAAATCTCCGCTTGGGCTCCCTTATTATTACACTATTTTTCTGTTTGTTGATTCTGTTGGTGTTGTTAATACATTTTATTATTTGTAAACGCTGCGACCGACTGATTAATAATTCAACTATTACCTGTCCCGACAATAGTATTCATTTAGTTGTATTGTCATCTTAACTGAATGTGTGTACCAATATCAGATCAATCTGTCAACAGAAAAGGGGTCAAACTTCAATCAATAAATTGGACCCAAACAAACAGGGCAAGCTGAATGAAACCATTCAAAAATATTGGCAGTGGACTGTTTTGAAATGAACACATGGTATGTGTCACTGGAAACAACTGATTTATGATCAGACAGTTGGTCGATAGACCGAACAAAAAAATTTCGAGAAACGTTTCCAATTTGTATCTGAATCGACTATTGACAACAAACGATTACCGTCGACTCAATTGAGAAATTATGCATGCAATCGCGTTTTTTTTTTGCATCCGAACACGGCTTCGGGAGTGAAACGAATGCTGAAACCTTGATCTTTCCCTCGGATAACTTTCGCGGAGGCTACTCTATTAAATTAATCGTAATGCAACCACTCATTACGTACTTACACTAATGGACCCATTTGATACATCATTTTTTCTCGTTCTACCGATTAGGCACAATCATCTAGCATTTTCGCAAACTCATCGGTTATGCGAATGGCACAGCTGAAACTCGTTAAAATAAATGTACCCACGTCTTTTCTCTCCACTGGGGTCGGTTCCCAGTAGAAACAGATTCATTTTCAAGGTTGTTTAAAAACCTTCGCATCATATTCTTTTATCGACAAGGAAAAGTCGACCAATGAAGAAGAACCGTCAAATTAAACAGGCAATATTGAATATTTAGAAGACTTTAACATCTTCAGCGATCATCACTATGGCTTTCGCAAACAAAGATCAGTAGGTGGTTACATCAGGGCGGCAAAGGCCAAGAAAGCTCCGTCGATTCAATAACCAATCAGTTGTTGAAGATGCTCCCGGGCAACTGCCTATTCCATATTATAAACAGTTCGTTGGCTCTCAGATACTTCCCCAGAAGGAGGAAGCATGCGATCGTTATCATGATCCCAAAACAGGGTCAGAACCAGCTGTTCCCACAGAACTATCGCTCTCGTTGGCGGCTAAGCTGGCTGAAAAAGTCGTTCCACAAAGACTCAACGAAGAAGTCGAGTACCGAAATGTTCTGCCTGACGAACAGTTCGGCTTCAGGAGAGAACACTCCACTGAGTTGCAGGCTCTTAGATTAGTCGAAAACACCATCGCGAAACTAAATGAAAACAAAAAAGTTCATGTCGTTTTGCTAGACATTTCGAAGGCCTTCGACCGTGTATGGCACGAAAGCCTTCTGCCTAAACTAATCGCGTTCGACCTGCCTCGAGGCTTGATCCGGTGGATTGGGTCTTTCCTGAAAGACAGAACATTTCGAATTAGAGTAGGAGCTCTCTGTCTGACAACAAAGAGATCCTTGCTGGAGTGCCACAGGGGGCCGTGCTCTCTCCTACGCTGTACTTACTTTACACCAGTGACCTTCCGAGGTCAGAGCGTGTTAAGATATCTCTGTACGCTGATGACACGGCTCTTCTCTCATCTTCCATGGGTCGGGAGCTCGGCGTCGTCTACATGCAACGTGCTTTGGACGACCTCGAGCGCTGGTACCTTGATTGGAAGATCCGAGTGGACCCGGACAAGACCCAGGTGATAACCATGGGAAGAACGATATCTTCTCCGGTCAGAAAAGTGAGGATCTCTGGAAGGGAGATCGACTGGCAAGCGACCGTAGCCGTAGACCTTAGGCTTACCTGGAACCCGCACATTACAACCGTGAAGACAAAGATCGAGGGTCGGATCAAAAGTCTGTACCCTCTGATCAATAGACGTTCCAAATTAAGCCTTAAGAACAAGATTACGATCTTTAAAACGATGTTCAAGCCTGTCATCATGTACGCTTCAGGCGTCTGGGGACAAACGGCCACGTATAATACCTCCATTCTGGAGGTATTGCAAAATAAGTTAATGAGGATGATTGTGAATGCTCCTTGGTTTGTGCGGAATGAAGCCCTTCCATTAAGCAGTCCATTCAGTCGAGGAATCGGCAAGCCTTTGATTGCGCAGAAACCCACGATAATCCGTTAGTTAGGGAAGCTATGGAGTATGCTGTAGACGACCCCTCCCGATATAGAAGGCCCAGACACTCTGTCAAGTGAGGCCCTCATGTCCCCCGTTAAAAGATGAACAATATCTTCATCCAAACACCCCAGCCAGGTAGGGGTCCACGTGAAGGGCGGCAATGATGTCTAAGGACATTCATGCCGTCATCTTATAAATCAGTTTCGACCCGTTTGTCTTCCTGACGAACATCAGTCCAAAGGGTAAGGGAGCCAGGCTCCAACCCAAGATGGCTGTCGGTAAAGATCAATAGGCGACCTTCACACGTATGTCACCCATATTTCGAAGAACTGAATCGATAAATCCATGGACAGTCAAGAACTGTTGTGTTTGATATTTCAAAAGCCTTTGCATGAGGGTTTGCTGGCCAAACTTCGATGCTACGGCTTTCCGGATTATTTTTTGTATACGGCTCACTAGCCGTCGATGGACACCTCTCTAATACTTTTACCATCATCACTGGTATTCCCCAGGGATCCATATTGTCTCCAACTTTATTTTTATTGTATCAACGACTTATTGGAAAAAACCAAGAATTTAATATATAGCTTTGCTGTCTTGGCACAATCATGTCGCTGGAATTGCAAAAGACGCTTCTCAAAAACTCTCAAAAACTTTTGATGCCTTATAAAGCTTAGATCAGACCTTCTTTGGAGTATTGTTCCCATGCATGGAGTTCTGCCCCCAAACATACCCTGAAGTTGCTGGATTTCATCCAGAAAAGAGCCGTCCGCCTGATTGGAGACGCGAACATCACTTGCAACCTTGATAGTCTGGAAAATCGAAAAAAGGTTGGAGACTTGTCTTTTTTCTCTACATATACTTTCACGGGAGGTGTTCGAGTGACTTGGGACATTTAATACACCACTCGAACTTCAGCATTTAAGAACTCTTCCATTTGTAGAACGGCGTTTTTGTGGAATCAACGTCCTGAGAACGTTTTTCCAAATGAATTTAATCTCCAGCGATGCAAATCGCTACTTTCGCACAGGCACCGCTCATAGAGCGCCTTAACCTTCCGTTACTGTCGTATATACATTGGACACAGATACTGACGTTTCAGACCGCATTTCCACTATCAGCTAAATTTCAAAGTGTAATAGTATATTCTTACTGAAATAAAACCTAGGTGCATTTTTATTGGAAAAAAATGTATTCTCACTACTTGGACATAAAACATCTCCTCAAATATAAAATAAACACTCTATACTTCATAGATAACATACTTATGAGGTATAAAAAATAATGTTTCGTCGTTTCGAAAATACATCAAGAAATAAGAAAAAACATTTCTATTAAAGAGTTAAAAGAAACGAGAACTCAAGTTGTGGTAACATGTTTCACACAATATTTCTATGCGATCTAAGCATAAAAACTTTTTACATTTCCGCCAGGAGAATCGTGTTTTTCGATTTTTTTCAGAACTACAAATTACACAACGGCCGGTTACTTGGACTCTTTCCTCATCTTGAGTTGGCTCTTGACTGAGACCACATACTTCCGAAATGCGGCCTCTCAGAGTTCTAGGTATGTAATCTGACGCAGCACGTAGTTTCAGTTGATCAGAGACTGAATCCAACTCAAGCCGAAGTAAAAAGTATTTGGGCACTGTTTTCTTATCTGGGTTATTTGCAGTATAAATTATGAAAGAATTGATACCAGAGATGTTCATCATACTGTAAAAAACCACCATGGACCAACGCCTTGTTGGCCTCGCACACTTGAATGTTGCACTTAGCTTATCAACCAAGTCCACTCCTCCTTTCGTCTTATTATAGTCCACTATCATTTCTGGTGTTCCTGTTTCTTCATCGATTTTGTCATCAAAATGCATAGTGGATAGCAGAAGGACAGTCTTTCCAGGTTTCGGGATACATGAAACCAATGTGGAGTTTTGTTGGAAACCAAACATACTAGCTTCGGCAGAACGAAGTTCCACTTGCAGAAATATTGATGGTATTTGTTTTTGTTCTTGCGAATAGTTCTTAGCAAACTGAGTTTGTGATTATCACGAAGTGTGTCAGCCAATTCGACTCTAGTGAACCAGTTGTTACATTACGTCCACTGCCTGAAATTGGATCACATAGTCTGCACCAACGCAAATGGTTTATTGTCAACCTCAAAAGGACCAGGTGGCTGTCTACCTACATATACCTCCATATTTGCTGTGTAGAACATTTTAGCATCTACTAGAGTAAAAATCTTAATGCCATATTTATTTGGTTAAGACGGAATGTACTGGCGAAGCTGGCAATTTCTCTGAACGGTTCTAACTTTTCGTCTATTGTTACATATTCGGATAAATAATAGGACAATTCCCGAATTGGTGCGAGTTTATCATTACTTTGTCTTTCTTCTCGGGTATCTTTATCGTCAAACCGAATATGGGCCAGCAGGAAACGAAACCTGTAAAGAGTCAAAAAATTTCCATAGAGGTTCCGTCTGTTTTGAATAAATCACTGGCGTTAACGTGATTGCATTTCCTTGACGCTGAAATAAACAACAAACCGAATAATGCTTCCATCTGTTCTTTCTCATATTCCATTTCTAAAATGAATCAAAATTACCATGACAAACCCCATAAATGAAAAAATCTTACTGCTGGATGTATGGACAAACGTGATCACAACAACTGACGTCGATTTCCTGCACGGAACATCAAAATAGATTGTAACAGGTTTCTAGCACACGCACGAAACTTGAGACACCTAAGCTGCACGATACTATCGAGAGGTACTTCGGCTTACAGATCTGCGGTTGCACCCCACCCCTATTATTTGGCACCCAATCGGATGCGTCGGTCTGACAGACCGGACGTCACTATCAAAAGGTTAAGGAGTTTCCTGTAGTGTTTGTGTTTTGGCCTTGAAAAAAGTTAGTTTTCATCTGATTGATAATTATTCAAGAGAACAATCGGTTCGAGACAATGGCTGTATGAAATGAATGTATTTTACATTTGGTGTTCCTCGGAGATCCTTTTCAGGACCTCCTGTAGCCTAGATCGGATTTTAAGAACTAGGGGAACGAATGTTTGAAAGACAAACTGAAAAGGAAAACGTATTTTTTGTATGATTCAATGTTCACATAAAACCAGTTTTTCTTTCGTGTAATTCAATGTTTATATGATACTAGTTGTTTGAAGAGAGTTTTTTTCAGTTTGAGTCTGAAAGTTACTTCTTTGCATAATCTACACATCTTTGTCAAGAGTTTAATTTCGAATAATTGGTTTCGTCCTCACTTTAAAAGATTCCCATATTTTTATGTACTCGTAAGAAGATGAAGAAGTAGAAAGCCAAAACCTTTCTTCCACTCGAAATGTGTTTTCCCTTGATTATTAAAATATTTTTTCTTGCCGTTTAGTTCATGAATTTGTTAAACTTTCTATTTCAATAAAAATATTCTATATGACGAAATATTTGAAACACAGAAATACTATAAAATGATAACGAAATAAACCGAAGAAGTAGAATCTTACTAATAACCACAAATTCAAAGTCCATAGAAATATTATCAATACTCCGCAGCCATTAAAAAACAACTTCAGAATAAGCTATCAACAATACCGGAAGAACCAACCCAAAGATACAGTAAAATCGTGGATTTTATGTTTGTCGATGAGACTATTTGCCGGTGTCTCAGTAGCAGGTGAATACCAATTGAAACGGTCTTATGAATTTCAATGAGAAATTTAATGACGCTTTGCTAGGATAACAATTGAATATTTTGAATATCCTCTCATGTTTCTTGTGAGACAAGTCGTCAGTACAGAACCCAATATGATTGAACTCTCCATGCTATGAATTGCACGTTTGAAGATGAGACCTCGTTAATCCTAAGCTCGCAACAGGTTTCTATTTTTGAAGGTTGTCGTTCGTATGGGCGACAGCTGAATAAATGAATTTTAACAAATTTCAACTTGTAGACACGTCAATGATTACATCGATATTCTTCTTTCATAAACTGTTGGGAGTTTCTGTCTCTGTTTATTATTTTTTTTTTGTTTTTTTTTTGTTACGCGATTAATACTAGGCACTCTCTCCTGTATCCTTTTCTGTATGTATCTATGACCCCGATGATAGTCTTTTTTCAACTAATGTTTTTGTTTTATAATTTTCATCAACCCTGTCTTGGTTGATTAAGACAAATTAAGACACATTAAGACAAATTCAAGCGAATTGAAATGATAAATCAGTTTGAACATCCGGAAAAGGCATTGGTTCACCGAGTGGTTTTTACTTCTCCATCTCTGGATGTCCATGAACATTTCGTTAATAATGTATTCCATGCCGAAACCGTTGAAAGTACTATTTTCAATGATCGCATAGAATAGAAATCAACAAGTCGATTATCACATGCAGATATTGGGTCGTTTCGTGAGAAACGTCTCATTCACTGTCGAAGTATCTACGCTGAAGCCAGCAGTTACTTCACGAGGTGTCAGTATCAGAAGAAATAAACACAACTTTTTAAAGTGCGATTACACACAATTTACGTCCGAGGATATTCAGTAGCGTGGTAGAGAGCCGGTTTAGCACAGTATACGACAATCTGATAATATCCAGTATTATCTGACGTGAAAATTATGAAACAATATTTCCTTCAGACAAGTCTATTATCAACATAAAGTCGATGATTTCCGATAATTGAAAATCGAATTCCTTCAGAGTATTATTCCTCGAACTAGGGTGGACAACAAATAACATGTCTGTCATCGCCCTATCTGCCTGTGAACGAGGTAACCAACTGCATATCTGAAATTTGCCCAATTCCTTGTATAAGGACTATATGTGACTATAAGTGAACCATACTCCAAAGAAAATAGCATTGACACACTTATCTTCACATATAATATCATATAAAACAGAGCTGGAAAACCACGCAACTCCTATCAAAAACTTTACGAAATTTACTCCAATTTCCTCAACGATGAAAATGTACCTTTTTGAATGACCTAAAAGAACGTCGCTGGCAACAGATTGTTATTACAACATAAAAAGTAACAACTTAAGAGCTCCTTAATGAATAAAGATAAAAAATATGCGTATGGGATCTTATAGCATAAAGTTTAGTTTCAGAGGATTATTCCCTATGTATTTCGATTACGTCTATAATTCATAAATATTTTAGAATTTGATGTTACTTTCCTATTTTTTGCAACTATTTTGATTGTCGGTAATTCTAACTGTAGCTGTCGTGAACAAAACAATACAATGATTTTTTGAGTTTGTTTTTATTCGTGAAATATAAAATGAAGTGAAGTATAATAAAAGTTTGATCACTATCACAAATACTTCTGGTTACCCAGAACATTAAAACTACTCATTCACTTCTGAAAATATAAAATCAACCCAATTAATTATCTGCCAACAACAATTTTTTATATTCCACTATTCTCTTATTGTCGTTTAACAGCTGCATAATAAAAAATGCATTTTCAAATATGCAACAATGAATTATACAGCGAGACTTTAAAAATTTGAGAGAATGTTGATTTTGTTGTAATTTATTAGCAGCTTGGCTGAATAAACATTGGAAAACCATTTCTCTTAAGGTGACGACCTCTCATTCCCAGTCGGGCAGCCGTCATTTGGTAAAGATTAATGAGAAAATTAATTGCGCCGACATCTAGACCTTCTGAATATTTTCATTTACCCCCTGCAGATCAACTAGCAGATTAGAATATACAACTGTATTTAGTTAACCTCATCAAAAAAATCAGTTTCAACTCACAGTTCTGTTGCAAACCTAATGAATATTTATGGTACCGGTGTTTTATAGATCTAAAAACAAAGTTTTTTCTGTATCTACAATGGATGAGTCAATTAGGAAAGGTAAATTTTTGGAGAATCTTCGTTCATCTTCGATTTTTCAAATTCTGTTCTGTCTGTTCACCAGTTGTCGCACCCCTACGAACGACAACCCTCAGAAGTCAAAGCTTGTGCGAGCGAGTAACGAGGTCTTACCTTTTACACAGATGAAATGAAAGGTTGCATTTTTGACACAACCAATTGATCTTCAGCCTTTTCCGTTTCAGTAAATGTTTACACATATTTATTGTAGCATTCTGGGAATAACGACCCATTATTTGTTTTAACCGTAGTACGTGCTGGTCAGGTTCTATTCCACAGAGGACTCCAATAATCAGAACAACTATCTCGATATTTTATCAGTTTTTCCTCCTTCTTTCGGACGATATTCCTCTCACCAGGAACTAAAAACTCCACGACAAATATCGTCTTGCTCTGGTGGTCGAGAAGGACTACATCAGGCTTATTAGCTTGTATGAGCCTGAGGGTTACTATTATTATTATTATTACTTGGATATACCTTTTGAACGAAGCGGTTTTTACTTCCAAATTAATATTATCCATTAAATATGAATACCGTTGACTGTAAATTGATGTCTATCACAGAAAATAATGAAATTTGTAATTACAATGAATTAGCTAGGAATTTTCCTCTACTCGTCAAATCAATAATAATATATTCCCGCATCGTTAGTGGTTGCCATTTTTATTCGGGGTAAAAATTGATGAGTACAAGGAATCCAAGATATTATCAATAAGCGTAAAGCACTGAATAATTCAAAACTGATAATTTATCGATATCAAAGTGAAATGTTAACATTTTTTCACAGAAATAGCGGGTGCGTTATTAGGAATTGAGTTTGACGACCCACCGCAAGACCTCAGCCACAATAAACTGTCGCTGGTTACTACTTACCTAACTTAGATAAGACTAGAACGTAAAAAACACACTAAAATCATTTGAAAAAAGATCCAGATATTTGTTAACAGTGAATTTCCAACAATCAAAAACTCCTCTAATTGGTAT